AACGGGATGTACCTATATTAATAAACCGGGATAACAGGAAGGATATCGATCTTTGTGTATCGATCTTCGATACATCGTTTGTTCTAAAGCAGTATTGACTGGTATAAAACGGGATTTTTTCATAATAACCGGGATAAAAGGGAGGGATTTTACCTATACAGGATAGTCATGGATAAAACTGGATGTTACTATGTTAAGAAGCCGGGATAAAACACATCAAATGCATCATGAAACACAGCAAACACATCAAACACATCATGAAACACTTCAAACACAACAAACACATCTCGAAACACAGCAAACACATCATGAAACACAGCAAACACATCATGAAACACCCTAGCACATCATGAAACACAATCAAACATAACAAACACATCATGAAACACAGCAAACACATCATGAAACACAATCAAACACAACAAACACATCATGAAACACAATCAAACACAACAAACACATCATGAAACACAATCAAACAAATCAAATACATCAAACTGATAATCGCATGTATCGATAATCGCATGTTTCATTGAACCCTTCAGGAATGCCAAGTCAAAATTTAAAGTTAAAAGAAGGAGCAGTGGTTATGTTACTACGCAACATTTGTATTGAGGATGGATTGTGCAATGGGACAAGATTAATTGTCTTAAAAATAAACAAATGCATTTTGCATTGCTCAGTTTTAACAGGAGAAAATAAAGGAAAAATAGTTGCACTACCAAAAATTACACTTAACACAAAAGAAGTAACAAACCTACCTTTTGTTTTGAATAGGAAACAATTCCCCGTTAGATTAGCACTTGCTATGACTATTAGTAAAAGCCAAGGGCAATCGTTTGACAGAGTGGGAATTTTTATAGATAAATGAAGACCAATGTTCGCTCACGGGCAACTGTATGTAGCATTGTCTAGATGTAGGACTAAAGAAGGTTTAAAAATAAAAATCATTAATTTTGATGACAACAAAAATAAAAACACAGCAATGAACATTGTGTATCAAGAAGTTCTGCACTAACTTTGTTTATTTTCTACTGTTAAAATTGAGGAATGCAGTATGTAATTATTATCTTCAAAACAATTAATTTTGTCACTATGAACAAAACATTTTTTATTATGAATATAACTTAAAACAAGCAGTGAACTCCAACACAATGTGTTTATAAGGCGCGTCATTAAAACGAACATATCAACCCCTACAAACAATGATGTATAAAAAAAAATTATGTGATATTTTCATCATTAATTAACAGAATCTAAGAGGGGGTTGGGCCGCGGAGCGGCCAGGGGGCGTAGCCCTCTAGTTTTATTAAAAAAAGCTAAGGCCTTTTTTGTGTGCACGTCCGTGTCGATTTGCGTTCTCATCGGTCCTTTCATTAACCAATCAGAAAACGTCAATAAAAATCCCCGGGAAATTTAAATGTAATTTTCCAAATATCATTCGATATTAGACAGAATAAACACAGATAAAAATGGCATTTATTGATATTAACCGGGATAAAAGGGAGGAATTTTAGAAAAAGGGGAATAATCAGTGTGAAACGAGATATATATTCATATAAAAGGAGAGATAAAACAGGATGGATAGGGAACAAATAGGATAGAAGGGATAAAATAGGATAGATAGGGATAAAACTGAATACATCCCACCCTTCGATATATTGATCTTTGTTTATCTATCATCGATATATCGTTCGAATTAAAACAGTCGGGGTTAAAGGGAGGAATTTTAAGAAAAGGGGAACTATCAGTGTGAAACGGGATATATATGTATAAAACAAGATGAATAGGGATAAAATAGGATGGATAGGGATAAAACTGAATATATCCCACCCTTCGATATATTGACCTTTGTTTATTTTTCCTCCATGTATCGTTTAATGTAGAGCATGATAGACAAGGATAAAACTGGATGTATTGATATTAACCGGGATAAAATGTAGGAATTTTGAGGAAATAGCAATAATAAGCGTGAAACGGGATTGATAAGGATTAAACAGGATAGATAGGGATAAAATAAGGTATTCTCTATCGATCTTCGATATATGGCTCGATATAAAGCAGGATAGAAGGGATTGGATGGGATGTATTGATATTAACCAGGATCAAATGCAGGAATTTTATGAAAAGTGCAATAATCAGTGTGAAACAGGATGGACCATGATTAGTCGAGTTAAATGGTGGAATTTTGAGAAAAGGGGAATAATCCTCTTAGCAACCAAGGAGCCCGACCTTTCTGGACTGCCTCACGTGGCACCCAAGGAGCCTAACCACCAAGGGGCTGAAAAACTTCCCACAAACACACCAAACACTTTGGGGGCTTAACGCCAAACACACCAAACACAAGAAAGACACCAAACACATGGAACACACCAAACACAAGAAACACACCAAACACATGGAACACACAAAACACATCAAACACACCAAACACTTTGAGGGCTTCACACAAAACACACCACACACATCGAACACACTAAACACATCAAACTCACCGAACTCATCAAACAGACCATACACACCAAACACATCAAACACACCAAACATATCAAACTCACCAAACACAAAAAACACATCAAACACACAGAATACACAAAACAGACCAAACACTTTAAACACACCAAACACTTGAAACACATCAAACACAACAAATACATCAAACACAACAAGCAGAATAAACACATCAAACACACCATACTCATCAAACACACCATACTCATCAAACAGAACATAACCATGGAACACACCGAATAAATCAAACACACTAAACACATCAAACACACCCCACAAATCAACACACGAAACAAATCAAACACACCACGGCCCCTTGGGTGCCAGGTAGGGCAGTCCCGAGAGGTTGAGCTCCTTGCTTGCCAGGAAGATTATTCCCCTTTTTCTCAAAATTCCTATAATCATTTTACCCGGTGAATACCAATACATCCATTTTCATCCCAGTCAATCCTGCTATCTATCGAACGACTTATCAAAGATCGATAATCAACCTATACTGTAGTTTGATAGATGCAACTGCATTAATCCCGTTTAATCTAAGTGCATCCTAATTCGGTTAGATTCATCCTTGAAGTAACAATTAATTTGATTTTAGATTGATTAAATTTCGAATAAATTAAATTTGTGGAAGAATGAGTCATTAGCATGACAAATATGCACATCCTTTCTCTAATTAAATCAATCGAAAACATACCTACGACATCACTAAAGTTGAGAATTTTTGCTATTACTGAAAATTGATGATGAATGATTTGAACGGATACGCATCTAAAAGAACTTTAGTAGTATTAATGAAAATTACAACAATAATGTATTAAAAAAAAATGAAGTGTGGTTCTCATCATGAATTGACAGAATCTACGAGGAGGCTGGGCCGCGGAGCGGCTAGGGGGCGGACTCTCTAGTTCGAAATAAAAAGGTTAGGTCCGTTGCCCCCCAAGGGAGCCCCTCTGAAAATTTTAGGGGGGCCAAAAAGTAGCTCCCTTTGAGCTAGGAACATTCCCCAAGTTTCAAATCTTACCTCAATTAGGTAAAAAGTTAGAGGGGGTGGAAGGGACTTTTGGATCACCCTGTAGAACACAACGGACCGGGAGGAGATCATTACCAGAGTGGTAAGTCGATGGTGGTTGGGGGTTTTTTCATTCAAAATTGATGAGAGAAGGATTGTGTCCTGTGCACCGCCAGGTCAAATTAACTTGGTCAGCACATGACAGCCCAGTTGCTTAGGGAAATATGGATAATAGAGGGTTTTTTATGTCAGGAGTGCAATGTACAATCTTGTTGAAAACTCTAGAAGATGTGTCATGTATGTATGTGTGTATTTCTCCCCGAGTGATTTCCTTAGTTTTCAGTGCTTTGCATGGCAGTAAATTTTGAACTTCTTCAAACGAAACCGGGAGGAATTTTAGCTCTCTCAGAGTACTTCCAAATTTTGACCAAACATTTGGAATACATGAATTAGTCTTTTTACCTTGAGGGGCTAAAGTGAGGGGAGGCTTAGTTTCAGAATCAACTTTCCCTTGATCCGTAGGTATTTCCGCTCTATGTTTCAGCCAACAAAACTAAACGTGTACAAAAATGACATGGACAGTTGGGATTATACAGAGCCGCCTCGTGGAACAACGAGTAAGTATATAGTTCACTACCTAATTTATTGTTGTAATATTTGGTAGAAAACGGTCGACGAAATATTCGACCCGAAACAGGCTATAAGAATTTTTAAGGAAATTTTGGGCTACTGGAATGTGCGTACGCCTTTGGATACTGTCCCTTCTATCTCCGGGTTATGCAATTGAAATAACATTGAGTATCACATGCTACCCCTTCAATCTCCTGGATATGCAATAGTGTATGTTGCCCCTCCAATTTATAGGTCATGCAACAGCGATGCCAGATGGTGCATACGGGTATTCCTTGCATTACGTTTCACGGACCATTCCTAACTGGGGTCGACTTTTAAAAGTCGACTGATCGACTCAATTTTTCGGCTCGTTTTGCTTCCGGTCAATCCCTTAATCATGAGGGAACTTGAATTAATGAACGACGTGTCATCGCAAGATTTCTGATTTACTGCGAAGGAGCCTCCCACGTACCCCAGAAAACTGTTTCGTACAACAATTAATTAAAGCAGCATTTCATGTTTAGTATCGCCAAGTTTATACTATTAACTATCCGTGACCGCTTTGTTAAGAAAGTGAGTTTTCTTTCTAAATGTTTTTAATTATTACTAGGTGGTACGCGGGTACGCCCACTGGCCGCTACGCGACGCGAACCGCCGAATACGCTTCACCCTCTTTAAGGTCCACAGCGGACCTCCTGTGGTAAATGTAGATAGACTGGGCTCAAGTAGGGACTATATCCAGATAGCTGAAAGCGATTTTCTTTACTATGAAAGGAGATGAAATAAAAAAAATAATTAATAATATATTGAGAAATATTGAGGAATTTCAATAGTTATGATACTTTACCAACAATAAAAATAAATAAATGAAAAAAACATTCTTACGAAGAGTGACTAACGACGAACAGTATGGGCAGGATCATTGAGAGAGTCAAATATAATGATACTTTACCGTGAGAAGGAAAACAATTTAATAAGAGTTACTTCACGACTTACTGAGAAAATCACTAGATTCACGTGAGTAAGTGAAAAAAAACCCAAGATAAACCACGCAATACAAAACACAACAGAGTGTACCGCATAGTAGCAGAGGCAACTGACTTAAACTGGTCGGAAAACTGAATGACCGGCAAAAAGCCGGAAAAGAAATTTGGGCTGAAGTAAGAGCTCTGTACAAGGAAAGGTGGCGGATTAAGTGGGCGCAGAAAGAGCAAGGATCGGTTATGCAGTTGGAGGGGTAGCGGACACGCCCAGCGTTAGGTTGTAAAGCGTTACACGTATGATTTATATTATACAGTATGATGTGATTAGATGAAACTTAAAAATATTATTAAAAAGTGATGTCAAGATATTTATAAATTATGTTTTAATATTTGGATACTATATTTAAAGTAAATTTTAGACAATTTCGTGTGCACATTTAAAATATTGGAAAGAATACTTTTGACATCTTTTTCATGATGGCATCGGTTGACGTTTGAAAGGTTTTATAACATTAAATCCAGTGCTATATAACTTTAGTCGTTAAGTCGAAACTTAGTAGTTCACTCCATTATTTTTTACGACTCACCAATATCGAAGTCCAAAGGGGTGGGTGCAAAATCGACAAAATTTCCCCCCTCATGGATGTTGACCAAATTTCAGTATGTCATTTCTCACTATGGGATACGCCTTTTCCCAAAATTTCACGGCCTGAAACGAATTTCTCTCCGCGTAGCAGCGTTGCCAAGTTGAAAACCGTCGAGTTCCATATCTTTTGAACGAAAAGAGATATTGAGATGCGGTTTGCGCTAAAATTCTCCAAAAATTGCGTTCTTTCGATATATGTACTCAATTTGATCGTTTAGGTAATTTAAGATTGCAATGATGCCATTTTTCACTTTTTCTTAAGGGTCAATTTTTTTTCAACCCTAGTACATCATCAAATGCCGGATTCTCGATTCGAAAAAAAAACTGTTCATTGTATTATTCGTGCTTTTCCATTTCTTTTGATATATTATAGCTCCCAGGGAAACGATTAGTAACGGAGATATGAGCAATCTAAGTTTACGCTCCGCGCGCGCCGACCGGAATCCGGGCGCCGCTCGCCGCTCTGAGTCGTCTGCACACTCCCTTTCTTAAGCTTCACGAGGTCATTCCTATGTATTTTTTTGCGTACTTTCCATTTCTGGCCTTTGAAAAGGGCTCCGATGAATTTTTAGGGGCCTCGCGGTCCATTGTTGCCATTTTTTGCTCGTATTTAGGGTTTTTTCCCTATTTTACTCACAATTCTACTGAAAAACTTAATTTAAACGGAAAACTGTGTGCGTTGAGGGAAAGAACGTAAAGAAGAAATAAAAATTCATGTAAAAATTTTTCCTTCGTTGCCAAATTTTCGAGAAAAATCGTACTAAAGAGCCAAATATTTGAAAAATTGGATAAATCCCCACGCCATGGTTTATGAAAGTGGGGCATAGCTTTCATATTGACGTACTTACGTAACAGATCTTACCTATCTATACAACATATTAAAAAAGCATAGTTGTATTTGGATTCCCACGATCTGAAAATTGTCCGGGATGTCACCTTTTGCGGTCTTTTCTTATGTGTAAGGTAGATCTTTTGAATGTTTTTCGACCTTTAGTCATCCTCCGTAGGGGTGTATCGTAACCATATGTCGTAGAACGTAGAAGGTTTTAGGAAATGAATAATGACTTTCATGCAGAATTGAAGAGCTTTTCCGGAAAAAGGGCACATACCGAAAAAACGTGTTGTGAGAAAAACGCATTTGAAGTTTTCATTCTTACTTTCTGGCCACTGATGATGACATACATCGGAACTGAGGCACTCATATCAACGTTCATACACTCCAGAATGAATAACGGCCATTGGTAAAACTTACACTTCTTCCAGTGTTGTGGGAAGAATTTTTTAAAATTGTTCGTTATGTGCCCTTTTCCTGGAAATGGACCAGTGGTCATAGGTTTTGGCTTTTGAAGCTGAATTTTCGAGACTTCAACGAGTTTCTAAACAAGAGTAAATAATTCCGATTGACCAATAAATAATAATTTCGATTGAGAACGCGCGGGTGGATCATCTTCGATCATTAATAATGAAAAAGACTGCGAAACACGCGAAAAAATCGAAAAATTCAATCTCACACGAGACCATAAAAAATAAATCATTAATAATTAAAAAAATTCACGTGTGACTGGTGCAACGCGTAGAGAATCCCTACAATCCCTGCAACCCGATGCTATTGCATTGATTAGCAGAATCAGTGCGATGCATCTGTAGTGAGGGATCCTTATCAGTACCCATCACCTCCCTGCCTGCCCGCGCACTATCTCCTAAACGTCGCGGCGAAAGTACCCAGAAGCAAATAGATGAAATACGTCTGTGACCCCTGACTTATTCTTAGCCTCAAAAAACGTGGTCTCGTAGCTCCAAAAATTGATCAATTAAGCTGAAACTCGGGGCATTGGTACATTAGGATGCAAGGAATCCATTTCTGTCACCTCCGATAGAGGGCACATACGCGTATGTGCCCTTTTTCCGGAATGCTCCTCAATTGTGGGCTTCTCTTCTCATGCAGCCTCTCTGCCTCTCATCTTGGGGAAGTGGCCCGTGGCATTAAGTCATACTTAAAATTATAATTATAAAATTAAGTCGAAGTCATAATTCACTTTCCCAGAGACATCTTCGTCATAATTAATCCAATTTTTGGCACTTTAGGACGATTTTTCTTGAAAATTTGGCAACATAAGAATAAGTCCTTACGAACGTTAATGATGTACTTTTTTACGTTCTTTTCAAAAATGAAAATTACAGCAAAAATACATACGATACACCCCTACGGAGGATGACTAAAGGTCGAAAAACATTCAAAAGATCTACCTTACACATAAGAAAAGACCGCAAAAGGTGACATCCCGGACAATTTTCAGATCGTGGGAATCCAAATACAACTATGCTTTTTTAATATGTTGTATAGATAGGTAAGATCTGTTACGTAAGTACGTCAATATGAAAGCTATGCCCCACTTTCATAAACCATGGCGTGGGGATTTATCCAATTTTTCAAATATTTGGCTCTTTAGTACGATTTTTCTCGAAAATTTGGCAACGAAGGAAAAATTTTTACATGAATTTTTATTTCTTCTTTACGTTCTTTCCCTCAACGCACACAGTTTTCCGTTTAAATTAAGTTTTTCAGTAGAATTGTGAGTAAAATAGGGAAAAAACCCTAAATACGAGCAAAAAATGGCAACAATGGACCGCGAGGCCCCTAAAAATTCATCGGAGCCCTTTTCAAAGGCCAGAAATGGAAAGTACGCAAAAAAATACATAGGAATGACCTCGTGAAGCTTAAGAAAGGGAGTGTGCAGACGACTCAGAGCGGCGAGCGGCGCCCGGATTCCGGTCGGCGCGCGCGGAGCGTAAACTTAGATTGCTCATATCTCCGTTACTAATCGTTTCCCTGGGAGCTATAATATATCAAAAGAAATGGAAAAGCACGAATAATACAATGAACAGTTTTTTTTTCGAATCGAGAATCCGGCATTTGATGATGTACTAGGGTTGAAAAAAAATTGACCCTTAAGAAAAAGTGAAAAATGGCATCATTGCAATCTTAAATTACCTAAACGATCAAATTGAGTACATATATCAAAAGAACGCAATTTTTGGAGAATTTTAGCGCAAACCGCATCTCAATATCTCTTTTCGTTCAAAAGATATGGAACTCGACGGTTTTCAACTTGGCAACGCTGCTACGCGGAGAGAAATTCGTTTCAGGCCGTGAAATTTTGGGAAAAGGCGTATCCCATAGTGAGAAATGACATACTGAAATTTGGTCAACATCCATGAGGGGGGAAATTTTGTCGATTTTGCACCCACCCCTTTTCCTTACACGTTACACCATGACCATTTCGGGATTCGTTCCTACTATTAAGTGCCTAAGTTTCCTGAGAAGCTAAGTAAGTACCAAAGCAGCCTAACGCACCCAAGTGCCTGTAGTGCTGAACTACTTACATTTAGACATTTTCTTCATCTTTAAGCTCCACATCTTCTTGAGAAAACTTGCTGGGAAAATGTTATTGTAAAGAGCTTGATGCAAAAACGGCTTTTTTCGCCCCCTCTCTGGAAGTTCTTCAGACTTTGTCTATTGATTACTCATACTTGAGCGCTTCTTTTCCCAAATGTTTAGACCCCCAAAAAATTTTGGGGGGGAGCTAGGGGGGGGTGGAAGTCAAAACCTGTAAACCTCGATATCTCTTGAACAAAGAAAGATATCGAGGTCTGGTTTGGACGAAAAATCGTCTTAAATTGCATACTTTAAGATTCCAAATGTCGAAATCCCGATATCACATTTTTAAGTCAACATATGTGCTTTTTTCCAGTTTTTAGGTCTAGAAAATTTCTTTTAAACAAAAAATGTACAAAGATCTCAATTTTTTATTTGAACCAAAACCAGTTTTTTTAAATTGTTCCTCTTTTTCCGCATCCAACTAGTGGTCCATTAAGCTGGGGAACCAAACGGTTCCGGAGTTAGGATCGATTGAAGTTTCCGCTCAACGCGCGCCGACCGATTTTCGCGCGCAAAAAAGTCGGATTTGACTGTTATTAGATCAGATTGAATGTTCAAACTGAGCAAAATGCTTTATTAGGGACTCTTAAGGGTCGCTGAGTTCAGAAATTACAGATACTTCCAAATAATTTACGTTTTTAAAATTACAGCTCCGCAGCGCTATTTGAGAGGCCCACTGAGCGCCGACCGGCCGCTCAGTGGTCCTGTCCGATGCTGCAATTTTAAAATCGTGAATTTTTCGGAAGTATCTGTAATTTCTGAACTTAGCGACCCTCAAGAGTCCCTAATAAAGCATTTTTCTCAGTTTGAACATTCAATCTGATCTAATAACAGTCAAATCCGACTTTTTTGCGCGCGAAAATCGGTCGGCGCGCGTTGAGCGGAAACTTCAATCGATCATAACTCCGGAACCGTTTGGTTCCCCAGCTTAATGGACCACTCGTTGGATGCGGAAAAAGACGAACAATTTAAAAAACTGGTTTTGGTTCAAATAAAAAATTGAGATCTTTGTAAATTTTTTGTTTAAAAGAAATTTTCTTGACCTAAAAACTGGAAAAAAGCACATGTGTTGACTTAAAAATGTGATATCGGGATTTCGACCTTTGGAATCTTAAAGTATGCAATTTTAGACGATTTTTCGTCCAAACCGGACCTCGATATCTTTCTTTGTTCAAGAGATATCGAGGTTCACAGGTTTTGACTTCCACCCCCCCTAGCTCCCCCCCAAAATTTTTTGGGGGTCTGAAAATTTGGGAAAAGAAGCGCTCAAGTATGAGTAATCAATAGACAAAGTCTGAAGAACTTCCAGAGGGGGGGCGAAAAAAGCCGTTTTTGCATCAAGCTCTTTAAAGTTTTGAAGTATTTTTAGGAGATGAATGTAAGCTTTGGCTCGATGGACAGTCAGGAACGAAGCAAGCTTTCAGAAGGAAAGTTAAAATGTATGTTTTATAACCTACTTAACTCAGTAAATTTTTCAGGAAGATTTTCCCGGTTATCCGAAGTTTAAAAGATGAACCATTTCTGGAAATTTTGAAACATTTCAAAACACTGCGCGCAATCAACTTTTTTTCTCACATTTCTCTTTACAAGTACTTTTAGCGTTATCGTTTTACATATACGTCTTCAACTGTCACCTGTGAGTGATTTACAAGTCATGACTAGGTTGTTTGTCCTCTCTTTTATAGATACAGTGCCCTCGAGAGGACCTCTTCTTCAAGAACCTCCACATTTCGGTGCAAGGCCCACGCCTTTCAGTGAGTATTTTACTTTGCCTTCCCTCACTAGTATCACCATTTCAAGGAATTATTGCTGTCCACGCTCTACCCCTCCCCCCTGGGATCAAAGTTTCATGCGAAAGTCAAGTACCGGAAATGGAAACAGGATAGTTCCGCGGAACTAACGAGGAAGGTCTTGGGAACGTTCCTCAAGCCTCTTAAAAGTCATTTTGAATGATTTATTTTTCAAACATTAAAGTCGTATATCTGGTTTCAAAATATCCCCCTTTACCAGGGTTGTTTTTTCTTAGTTCGTAAGTGTAGGAATTAGTCAGTAGTAAAAGTGAAATCGCCTGAAGATGGCTCCGATGCGTAGCCGAAACGTTGCAATTGAACAAAAAAACGAGGCTGGAACCATGGTATATATGTAATGCACATAAATTTTGAGTGTGTGTGTATACGAGGTGTACCAAAAGTCCGTCCCACCCCTGCTAACTTTTGAACGAATTGAGCTAGGGTAATGAAACTTCGGGAATGTTCCTATCTCAAAGGGAACCGTCTTTTGGGGGGTTCCAAATTTTGGTCCCCCCTGGGGGGGCGCGGGGGGCCCCCAACTTTTTTTCAAATGGCAACCCTAATCTTGTGATACCTCATTCGAAAGAACATAAAAAACTAAGAATTTTGGCGCAAACCGCAGATCAATATCTTAATTTTTGACCGAGTTATGATAGGTCAAAGTTTCAAAAAATCACAACTCCAGTTCAAATTATCGTAAAGACAAAAATAAAACGGGAAAATTTACCGAAGTGTAAGCACTTTCAAGTAAAATTCACAGATATCACTTCAAACTGATCAAAAAGTCATGCCGGGTGTCGGCTTCACCAGGTTAAGCCGCCTCAACGGCAAATGCGCTCCCCCGGCGCACTGTGCTGTTGAGCATGCTGTTTGAGTCTAAACCTGTGTCAATTCGTCTAATCGTCCCCACTCCCTCGACATATCGGTTTCCGTCAATCGTTACGCTCCATTTCTCGATTTTTCTTCTTCTTAGTTTTTGTTCGTCTTCACTCGATAGTTACGTGCATCCCTTCCTTTTTCTCTTTCAGTCACCACACCACGCCCTCCCTCTCAACTCGCACCAACGGCTACGTACTTCAATGTCCACGCTCCTTTTCTTCGCCTCGGCTTCTCTTTGTCGCGTTTTCAAACTCGTAGGTATCCACGCTCACCGAAGTGCGCGGCCTCTGAGATTCCCAGAAACAAAGAAAGACTCTCCACTGACCTCTTGGCCACAGGTGGAAACTTCATCTTTCGGGGATTTGCCGCTTTTTGGCTTTAACTGTCTCAGATTTTCGACTTATTTCTCCTCAAACGCAAACTGCCAAAATTGTTAAATAATTATTTTCGTTAACTTTATTTACTAAAATAAACTTTTCAATGAAAGATTCTTTATTTTCTACTCGTACTTTAATGTAGCGGAGTCAGCGTAATGAAAACCAGGGAAATCATTTTGCCATGAAAGACATCACAAACTTTATCTCAGGTCGTATAGGCTACATCATATCCTTTCGATTCTGAATCCCTTCTTTAATTCACTGTATAATTTCCTGCTGAATCATATCTTCTCGAAAATATTTCTGGAGGGTGAAGATGGGGATTTTGGAACAGCAGCAGCAGCATGATTAGCAGCAGCAGCATTATTAACAGCAACAACAACAGTAGCTTCAATAGGAGTACGATCAACATCCTCAGCAGTTGCAACAACAGGAGTAGCAGGAGGAAGAGAATTAGCAAGGCCTTTGATAGCAGCAGCAGGAACGGGAGCACGATCAGCATCCTCAGCAGCAGCGTGATCAGCAGATACAAACCGATTTTAAGTAAAGTAGCTCTAAGTTACCGAAACTAACCTAAGTCGAGTGTTCTCAAGTAACTTAACATAATTCTAATGGCTCCAAATATCTCAGCCCAACCTTAGCTAAGTCGAGTAGCTCCAAGTAACAGAACCTAACTCCAGTGTATACAGTTGCCAGATGGTGTACAGAAAATGTCTATTCTAATAGGGCAGTACATTTTTGGCGTAAGAACGCTTATCAGAAGAAGGGGTTTCGGCAGCGGACAGTCGGTTTGGTATCGAACTGTGGATTTTGGCACCAAACAGTAGACATTTGTATTCGATTTTCGCAATGGGCACTTGATTGTACAAAGACTTTTTCACTGGATATTAGGATATTAGGGTTTGATCCGTAAAGCAAGTTTTTTTTTTTTTCATTTTTACTTCAATCGTAACGTTACCGTTTCTGTCACCGTTTCCGTCACCTTGATGGTTTCTATTATTATTTTAATTCCCATTTCTATTACCGTCTCCGTTCCGGTTCGTTCCAAAAGAATGAACACTTATACATCACTTCTCTCTTTTTCTCCGATCTTAACATTGATCCTTACGATATCGACTTCGCGAGTGTTATCGTCGCAGATCGATCTGATGAAACTGAATTTGTAGTTGGGAAAACGGTAATTGGAATAGAGGTGTAGCACCCCTAACATATTCAAGGTGAGTCGAGTGACATCCGTCACGGAAGAGGATGCCCATTTGGTTTTCGAATTGATCGGATATACCGTGATATTTGAGTCATTTAAGTTTACAACCGTCGCCATCGCCGCAAAAGTCTGATAGACGATAAAAGATGAATAGACGGAAGAGATCCGATCCATCCGATACCATCTAAAAGATGATAGACGGAAGGGAACGTGTCGAGTCGATCATGATCTCCGGCCTCGTCTACACCGAGCTACTTAACGGCAGCTCGGTTCTTGTCGCAGCTCAGAACAAGTCCTTTTAATTAATGAGTTGGAGCTTTCCTCGATAGTATTTTTTGGTGATACTATGGTGCGTGTCTTTTAGATCGTAGGTGGCTACAAAGTTTATTAAAGGCGTTAGTAACGATGAACCTAGCCTTGTCAATGGATTGTCAGATTTTAGAACTTTAACTTTCTAACTGATCTATGTCTTTCGAACTCATTACAAGTAAATGCACGAACTGCGGCGCTTCGAATAACATGTTGGTGCCACGTGTATTTTTCTATTCATTTGAATTTAATTTCATATTAATTCTGCACTCACATCCTCAGAGCTAGAAACTTCATTTTCTGGCTAAAAACTGCGGTACACCTGAAATTGCTTCCTGTGTGCAGGAAGCGGTTACCATGAGCCACAGAAGCTGAAGATTTAAGCCGCATGATGTGACTTGAGGTGGTGGAAGTAAGACTAAAACCTCTCTCATTTTAGAGAGAACTTCTCACTGTGTGCAGAAAGCCAAAAGATTGATGCAAGCTATGGAAGGTAGAAGTTGAAGCCGTCGAAGGTGACTCGAAGTCACGGAAGGCGCATGTGCTGTATACAACCTGGAGCTCATAACTGAGCCAGAAACCCAATATAACCCATCTGATGAAATTCAGTAGAGTGAAGCTCGGAATTTGTGTAAGAAATTACTTCTGTCATCTTTTGTAACCTGTAAACTGTGTTTGTAAACTTGTAAATTTTTGACAGTTCTTTTTTTCAGGGGGAGCGCCCGGTGGACCTGGAGAACTGGCAAGCCCCGCCATACCAGCTCGTTCCAGGATCTTTTCAGAGTTCATTGATTACAATGATGGTTTCAATGAGTATGAGTTGTCTGAAAATTCTAGGTGAGATAAATACATACTGGTTGCGAGAAACTCTCAATGACTTTAGAATTAATTAGATTAAGCTGGGAATAATTATCTACAGTAGTGGCAGTACGATGAAAATGGAACTTCGCGTATTCTATGCCAAATTGTGCTTGAAAATTTTAATTTAAATGGTGCTGTAGGGTGGTTCTTATTTTCTTCACTGGACTTTTCGATAATCAAATGTCTGACAACCCCCCCCCCCAAAAAAAAAAGAAGAAAGTTGTCTTCTGGTGTGAAATGAACGTACATAAAATTCCAGTCAGATCGGATAATCGTAATTGGTGCCACCGCCGCGCGCCGTGGCCGACAGCCTCCGAACGGGAACTTTAAATTTCGGACAATAGAGGACCCATCACTAATAACGTTCAATACGCGTATAGGTCATTATTGCCCCCGTCGACTTTTCGGATTCTCAGTACCCTGTGGTAGAGGTAGAACTTAGTTAGGTACTAGGTGGAATAACAGCCTATACTCGTGAAGGCCTTTCATGCGTCCATCATCTCGGTAACGTTGTTTTCGGTTCGCGAGTATCACTGATAGTGACTGCCCGTTAATTTTGTGCGATTTAAATGATTTTTACTCACTAACTTCAACAAAAATTATTGTTGGGCGCAATAACAGCCCATAATTTGATTTTATACGCCTGAAGACCTTTCATGCGTCTTTCAAGGCGGTAACGTTGTTTTCGGTCCGCGAGTATTACTGATAGTGACTGCTCGTTCATTCTGCATTAATTTTGCGCGATTAGAATCCTTTTTACTAACTACCATCAACGAAAATGATTTTTTGGCGCAATAACAACATATAATATCATTTTTTTTATATAATACGAGGTGCCTGAGAGCTAGCGTACTTAACTTTCAGGATTGGCTTTTCGGCTTTATATATGACTTTTATCCCATACACATATGCCCGATGACGCTTCATAAGTGAGCTTTACGCTTCCAAAGTTGTAATTTTTTTTCTTTCGAATTGATGTAACTCCTCGTTATTTAATCGTAAGTACCTGAAATCTTGTACATGTACAATCNGGGGGGGGGGGGGGGGTCTATCTTTTCGCATACTGTTCATTTATCGTGTTTTCAAAGACGCACGTCTGCGGACAATGGCGTCGCGAGCGTTCCCGAATTTTAAAATTGCGATAACTTTTTTGGTAGATGATACTTGGAAAAACGGATTACGGTAAGGGAGAGAGTGCGGAAAATCAAGGCCACTAGATACTGCACAAAATTGTCCAGAAACGCGTCATTTCGACGCGACAGAGCTTCGAAAAAGTTCCAGATTTTTGAGGCTCCTTCTTAGGCAATTTTTTCTGCAAGGACTCGCGAAAAATTGCCTAATGAGCAAGGAGCAAGGAAGCGCCGCGCCTCGGCGACAGCCTCGTGATTTTGGAAGCATCTTGCTCCGTAGGCAATATTTCTTACAGTCTCTGCAGTAAAAATTGCCTATTCAGCAAGCAGCTTTGAAAATCTGGAACTTTTTCAAAGCGCTGTACTGTCAAAAAGACGCGTTTCTGGACAATTTTGTGCAGTACCTGGTGGCCTTGATTAATCGCGCTCCCTCCCTTACCGTAATCCGTTTTTCCAAATATCATCTACCAAAAAAGTTATCGCAATTTTAAAATTCGGGAACGCTCGTGACGCCATTGTCCGCAGACGCACGTCCTTGAAAACACAATAAATGAGCAGCATGCTAAAAAATACTTCTGTGTTCAAAGTTTTAGGTACTTACGACTAAATAAAGACGAATTACATCAACTTGAAAGGAAAAAATGGCAAAGTTCGAAGGGCAAAGCTCACTCATGAAGCGTTTTTGGGCATATGTGTGTAGGAAAAAAACGTCATACTTTTACCTGAAAAACCGACCCTGAAAGTTAAGTACGTTAACTTTCAGGATCGACTTTTCGGCTCAAAATGTGACTATTTTTTCCTATACACATGTGCCCGAAAATGCTTCATAAGTGAGCTATGCGCTTCCGAAGTTGCCATTTTTTTCTTTCAAATTGATGTAACTCCTCGTCATTTTGTCGTAAGTAGCTGAAACTTGGTGTGGGGGGGGGGGGTATTTTTTAGCGCACGGTTCGTTTTTCGTGTTTTCAAGGACGTACGTATTCCGGATATGACGTAACGAGCATTCCCGAATTTTAAAATTGCGATAACTTTTTTGGTGGATGATATTCGGAAAAACGGATTACACCACGTGAAAGAGCACGAAAACTCAGGGCCTGAAAGTACTGCACAAAATTTTCCAGAAACGTGTCATTTCGACGCAACAGAGCGTCGAAAAAGTTTCAGATTTTCGAAGCTCCTTGCTGAGTACGCAATTTTTACTGCAGGAACCGTTAGAAAATTGCCTATGGAGCAAGGGGCTTTGAAAATCCCGAAGCTATCGCGACGGATTCATCTTTCAGAGTTTGAAGCCCCTTGCTCGGTAGGCAATTTTCTAACGGTCCCTGCAGTAAAAGTTGCCTACTTAGCAAGAAGCTTCGAAAATCTGAAACTTTTTCGAAGCTCTGTTGCGTCGAAATGACACGCTTCTGGATAACTTTGTGCAGTACATTCAGGCACTGAGTTTTCGTGCTCTTTTACGTGGTGTAATCCGTTTTTCCGAATATCATCCACCAAAAAATTTATCGCAATTTTAAAATTCGGGAACGCTCGTGACGCCATTGTCCGCAGACGTGCGTCCTCGAAAACACGATAAATGAACAGTATGGAAAAAAATACACCCCCCCCCCCCCCAAGTTTCA